ATTTTGTAATCTACAATAGCATTCAGCAAACATTAGTTGTTTCTTCCTTAAATAGTAAGTGATCATTAATTTGGATACTAAGATATAGAAGACAATAAACTAGATACTTCATGAATGTTCCTCTACATCTCTCCCTAGTAAAGGATTATCTGGATGAGTCCAGTATAATTACATGGGTCCTCAAAAGCAAGAACTTTTCCAGCTGTAGTCAGAGGGAGATGTGACTGCAGAAGAAAGGGACAGAGAGATGTAACGCGAATGGCTTTGAAAACAGAGGAAGGAGCCACAAGCCAAGGAATGCCGGCGGCCTCTAGAAGTTGGAAAGGACAGGAAACAGATTCTACCCTGGACCCTCTAGGAGGAAAGGCAGCTCTGTAGACACCTTGATTTAAGTTCAGTGAAATCTGTGTTGGACTTCTGACCTATAGAACTGTATGGTAAATTTGAATTGTTTTAATCCACAGAGTTTGTTGTCATCTGTTACAGCAGCAATAGAAAACGAATATACTTGGGAGTATTACTGGTTGAAAACTTTCCTGGTCCATCTACCAGAACATTTAGAAAACAGGCCTGATCTGCCTTCCTCACTTCTCATATCCAGCTACACTCCACATCCTGTCGATTCTACCCATAGAAATACTTGTGACACTGGCTATTATGCTTTGAGGACTGGCCTCATGCCAGGCACATGCTAGAGACTTTGCATATCTTTTCTCCAGTTTCCAGAACTCTTAATAAGAAAGTAATAATTCCCCCTTAGCAGGTGAAAAAATTGAGACTCTGAGAGATTACTTGACCTGCCCAGGTAGAAATAGTGCAGCCAAGATGAAAACTTCCCTGCTTTCTCTGGCAGGCATCTCTGGTGCTGGGAGGGAAGGGGGGTCTTACAGTGGGGTGGAGAACCTCCCCAACATTTGAGAATCTAACTCTTCCTCTCCATCCCCATGGCCATGGCCCTGCCACAGGTTCTTACCTCCCACCAGGGTTCGGCCATTCCTTCCTAAGATGTCCCCTATCTCTGTATCTCACCCCCATCAATCCACCATGCACTGTAGGCAGAGCAACTTCTCCAACGCACAACTTCTCTGCTTAAACCGTCCCAGGGGTCCCCACTTTCTGCTGCATAAAGGCCAACCTTCTTAGCATAGCATTTGAAGCCCTTCACAATCTGGTTCTGGGTTCAGTTCACCCTTTGGAACTTTCTATGCTACAGATCTATCAACATGTTAGCTTTGCACTAGAATATGCCATGGGTTTTCATCACCATATATACAAACCTCGCCATATGTCAAAGAAGGAAAATATAAATCAGAGATGTGAAGTTAGCTGCCATAGGTCACTCAGGCTTCTACAAAGCAGAGTCAATACTAAACCCCAAATTCCCCATTAGACCACCCTGCAGCCTTAAAGAGATCATCTCTCATCCCTCCACTTCTCTCCTCTGCCACCATTACTGAGTGAAAATAACCATCCTCTCTCATGGGGAGGAATACAATACCTTTAATCTGTTCTTCATGTGGAATGAAAATCTAATCATGCCTCTCCACGGCTTAAGAATCCTTTGCTATCCATTGCTCTTAAAGACCAAACCTTCAGGATGTGGCCCCTACAAGAACTTCCAGCCCCATTTCATGGCCCCCTGCCTCTCACTTGATACTCACCCTCTTTCAGACCTCTCCACATGCCTCACTCCCTCCTGTCTCAGGGCCTTTGCACATGCTAACTTCTCTATCTGAAGTGCTCTCCTTCCTCTCCATGCTTCTCCCTCATCCTTCATGTCCCTTCAGCCATGACTTCCCCAGAAAGCCTTCCTGACTGCCAGACTAGCTGGGGGCCCTCCCCGAGATATTCTTCCTGCTCCCACTATTCTGCCCTTGTTCAGTCCTTCAGTCTGTAATTACCTGTGTGTGTGGTTATTTGATTAATGTCTTCTCTCTGTCAAACTCCACAGCTCATTAGAGCAGAGGCTTAATGTATTTGTGTACTTTTGTGTCCCCAGGGTTGACCCCTGTACCTGGAATCAGGATGGAGCCCAATATCTGCTGAGTAAATAAACACCAGTGGCCCCAGCTGTGAAGTCAACCTTGTATCTGCCATTGGTGTGTCTTTTAAGGAAAAGGGCAAGAAAGGTACCAAATGTGTCAGCTATTGGTGACACAGAATTGGCTGTCCCACGCAGTGGATTGCTTGGTGGTATTGTTGTTGCTGGTGTTAATTTTGTTGTGCTTAGTTTGGGGGAAAGGGTTCAAGTGTCAAACACATAAACAAAACCACTCTGAAACAGATTTAAGCTGTGAAAAACCTTTGATTTGCCAAATGAATAAATTTAAATTAATTTTACTTAAGAACACAACTTCTTGGGAAATGAGTTTTTAAATATTTTAATTTTTAAACTGTAGTATCTTTAGGGCCAGGGTTGCAAAATTAGGCCCAGACATTATTGTGCTTATTTTTTTTCACATGCATCACAGGCCGTAAGCAATAACCTATGTATAGAACACCAGATATAGCGGATTCCAAAATCATCCTTGCTTACCGCTTCTCGCATATTTATGACGCCATCTGATCTAAAAGCGTTTCAAATACTTGTGCTCAAGGCCTTTCGGCATTTGGACATTAAAGCAAAGTTGATGAGCTCTGTTTAACTTTAAAGGCTTTTCCATTTTCAGCTTGTTTTTATGGTGTATGTGAACAAGGTGCATTGCTTTATCTAGAGTTGACCTGTCATTTTACTGCCCAGAATCCAGCAGAAAGTACGATGCCTTTCTTCCAACCTATCTTGATATAATACTGTTCTTTTCCTTTTCAACAACACCAAGATATACGTTGTGCTTTTTCCCCCCCATTCAACAAATATTTATTAAATTCCTACTATGTGCAGAATTCTATTATAGCCATTGGGGTAGAGAGGCAAAGAATTGAAATCTCTGTCCTCGTGTAGCCAACATTCTAGTAAATCATAAATCCTGGAATCCTGCTTGTACACATCAGATTCTTTTCCTGTGTGTGTGTGTGTGTGTACCTGAAACCTGTGTAATTTTATTAATTAGTGTCACCCCAATAAATTCAATAATAAAATAAGACAAAATGTTCTAATTGTTGTGCTTTTTCTTAAACCTCATGCTTGAACCATATGCCCTACCTGGTGCTCTTCTTGGATACCTCATAATTTGGAGATAAAAAATATGTTGAGAAACTACTAGAATGGAAAATTCATGGCAATATTTGTCTTATATCTGTTGTATCCCCACTGCCTAGCACATGGGAGACACCCAATAAATATTTTTAATAGCATATTTATTAAATTTTTTACATTAAAAGTAATACATTTCCATCTTAGAAGTTTTAGGGGAAACAGAAAAACAAGAAAGAAAGAAAGATACAGCTACTTAAAAATAATCACTATGAACATTTTGGCATACTCTTCTACACATTTTATTTATGCATGCATATGTATTTTCTTTTTACATCACGCCATACGTAACAGCTTTCTAACCTATTTATTTTCAACCTACAATGTACTCAATGTGTAGATTACATACCCTCAAGTATTTTTTACTACATTCATTATTGGGGATGTTATTCCACAGTTTATGTAACTAATTCCACGAGGAAACGTGGCCAATGCCATAAATACTCTATTTTTCAGCACTTCAGGAAAATAGGGCATTGTGGTTACTAGGGAGTGAGTATCCAGGGCCAGAATTCAGTGAATAACACCAAGTCTAAAATCACACAGAACATGCTTCAATCTTTCTCTAATGAACCAAGGACATTCTAGAATGACTTTCCATGTGGAAGTAAACATCCTTCATTTTAGAAAAGTTACATATGTGCCAGGCTCTCTAAAGAAAACAATAGCCATAGCATTTCTGGGATGAAGAGGGGAACCCCAATCAAGCCTCCTCAATACCACCAAATGGCCCCTCACAGTAGAAAGAAGAAACAGTGGCCACATTTACTTGCATCTGAGGTTAAACATTCCAGTTCCTTTGTTCCCTTATTTTAACCGAGGACACCAGCCCCTCACTTCCACTACCTGCTTTAGATAGGGTAGCAGATCCAGACTGGGTTACTTTGAAGATCAAAGGTTCACTTTCAAGAACTGGCCCATCTGACAAGTGCATAGGCTATTGTTTCTAAGACTGCCTTTGAAATTAATTTGTGCTTGAGAATCATGGCAGAACCTACCACCGATGGTGGTAAGGCTAAGTGTTGAGTGGTGCCAAGGGTGGTCATTCATACCCCGGCCTCTGGGAACACCATATTCGGTGGGGCTTATGTATCTGGCTCAAGAGAATTCTTACTGGTACTTGGAGCTCTGCCCCTGCCCCTACACACATACACAAAATTACATTTTATATACAAAATTCCCCCTTGGAAATTGCCATAGAACATAAGTCCAAATGGATTTCTCCAGAACTCACTACTACTACTGATCACAAACTCCACAAATGTTGACTTTAATAGAAAACAAGCAACATCTCATCTCTAGATGGGAATTTCAACAATGAAATATTTTAAGTGATTTATATAAAGTTTCCTCCAAGCTAGTTTTGCGGCCTGAATAAGTAAATGTCTTTGTAAACTGTAAGGATTAAACAAGGTTAAGATATATGGGACAGGTTAAATACCTAGTAGTTGCTAAAATGTGCTCAGTTTATTTGCTGTAAAATTTTTATCTAAAAGAAAGTACTTCCAATAAAATCTCAGACCCAGAATTAAACGTCTCAGAATAAAACCAGTGACATAAAGAAAACACTTGCCTAAGTTAAATTGAGGTCGCCATTGATTACTCTGCGGCAAAGGAGTCATTGTTTCACACTGCCCAAGGGTGAAAACATGATTTAGAGCTTCTAAGTGTGAAAGGTGGTGGCAGGGGTCGGGTAAGGAGGGACTCCTTTCCCATCTTCCCCAAGAAGAGTTGATCTGTCCCTAGACATGGGGCCTGGTTCTTGGGCCCCCTGGGTCCACCCCGCCGGCACCCTGCACAGAGCACATGTTCTTCTATCTTTGCAGGTGAGACGAAGAGAGGGGCAGTAGGAACGGGGGCCCGGGTCCCCCGTGACCCTCTATGAGCCCACAACAATCTTTCGGCTGATGGCTCCCGGCAAGGTGTAGATGAAGAGGACCAGAAAGATGGTGAGGACGATCAGGATGAAAGCGATGATGATGTACTTCTTGTAATTCTTCCAGATGAGGTGGTACAGGCACTTGAAGGGGCTCACGACCCAGGAGAAGGAGGTGTCCGGGCGGCTGAGAGAGAAGCAAGAGGCAATCAGGGAGGAGGGCCCCGTGGTCCCCAGGTGGGGCTCTCTAGCCTGAGGGGGTGCTCAGGACCCCCGCTCGGCAAGAGGAAGCCTAAGAACAGGACAAGACCACGTTGCCCCAAAGCAGAAGCGATCTATCACTTGGGGCAATGTTGATTCCCCACCATTTCTAATATGGTCCGGAAGAGGGCAAGAGTCTAGTTAGAATCCAGACAGAGGCCTGAGTGCCCCCCACCTGACCAGCCCTGTCCAGCTCAAGCCCCCCCTTCCATAAAGCCCACCCTGACCATGCCAGTCCATAAGGACCCCCCTCGTTTCAAATTCCTATCTTGCCTATCACTTGACTTAGTCTCTTTTTGAACTTAACGCATTTGTCTTCCACACTGTGAAAGCTGTTTTATGAGCCTGTGTGTTCTCCCTAAACAGATGGAAGGCCCCTGAAAGGCAGAGCTTATGTCTTATATTTCTTCAGTGTTCTTCAAAGTGTTCGTTTAGTAGGTACACACTGTAGGAACTCAATAAATAATTTTGAATTAAAGATAGGTTCAGAGAAGGGGACACTTACCTTGAGACATTTGAGGTCTGAGGAGGGATAGCACGAATACAATTTGAAAGAGTATTTTGTATACATATTTTGTATCTGTATATATTTACTTTTTAATTGATATATAACCATGGATTAAATTGAATAGAGTAATCCTTCTAGTCATTCTACTTATTGGAATTTACTTATATTATGAAAATGGAAAAAAGGTAGCTGTAAATTAAATATTCAATTATGGGGTGGCAACCAGTTCAGTTATGGAATATTCCATAACCATTAAAATCCTAATTGTGATGGCTGTGAAAACCAAGCAAAACTTTTTAGCAAAGAATGAATGAAACATGAAGACAATTTTGTACGCATGATTGGCAGAGTAGAAAAAAATTCATGTGCCATTCACATTCACATAAAAATGAGTAAAAAATATATGAAATTAGTCTAGAAATGCCTCTGTGGTAGTATTACAGAAGAGTGCCCTCTCCATTTGCCTCTGTATTGATTTTTAGAATATTTTTCAATGATAGAAACAGAAAGCCATGTGGAATGGATGGCACCCCTTGGCTGCCTCCTGGCTTCCCAGTTCTCCCCGAGGGGGTCTCTAGAGAAATGGCCCATCCTCCGGTATGGAGACTGCAAAGAGTCTTTCGCATTTCTGATGCTTGCACCCCAACTCCACTCACTTGGGCTTGGCCAGGGGCTCTGGCTCCTTGCGTGCCTTTCCGACAGGATTCTTCTCAGCTTCTTCTGCAGTGACCAGGTGGAATTCAGCTTCAACCTTTCCCTGCACAAAGACGAAAGGCTCAATTTGTAGTCACAAAGATCTGCTGGGACATCGCCAACCTTCTAGAAGAGTGTTATCATGTGGGAGATTGCTGGGAATATTTTGACTATCCTACTGCTTTATTTTGAGAAATATTGTCAGCTTTTTGGTCCTGGGAGAAGCCATTTTTATGATGAACAATAAAAGCTCTGAAATGATGTTACTGTTGAGTTTTGTGAAGAGAGACTCCCACATGTACACAAATGCACATATACTCAGTCACATGTGCTATTTAATTTGTAATCATTTAATATCTGAAGAAATATTAATTATGGAAATGCACAGTAACTAGAAAGGGGACTGCCTACTTGAGTGGTAGAACCCTTTGGAATCTGCTAGTCTTTCCTCTCTGTCACTGATCCTCAGGAGGAAATAGGTGAATGTGTCCCTACATTTGCTGTGCGGCTTTTCCAAAGTCCTTCATTGCTTTTGCTGTCCCTACTACTTGTTTTATAATTATCCTTTTATTATACCACGTGTGATGTAAGTCTTGGGTTATCAAAGAACGAGACAGGACCTCTGCAAAAGGCAATAGTCATTCTTTCTTTATTCATTCATTCACTGCAGACTGGTGTGGCCACTGTGGAAAGCAGTGTGGAAGGTCCTCAAAAAATAAAAAATGGAGCTGCCGTTTGACCCAGTGATCCCACTTCTGGGAATGTATCTTAAGAAACCCGAAACATCAATCAGAATGAATTTATGCACCCTATGTTCATATCAGCACAATTTACAATAGCTAAGATCTGGAAACAGCCCAAGTGCCCATCAGTAGAAGAGTGGATAAAAAAGCATTGAGTGGAACATTTATACTATGGAATACTGTGCAGCTGTGTGAGAGAGGGGTCTCTTACTCTTTGAGACAACATGAATGGACCTGGAGATTACTATGCTAAGCGAAATAAGCCAGACAGAGAAAGACAAATATCACATGATCTCATTTCTATGGGAAATCTAATGAATAAAATGAACTGATGAACAAAATAGATCCAGAGACACAGAAGCATGGAACAGACTGACAAATCTCAGAGGGAAGGTGGGGATGGGGGGGG